TTATTATTATTAAGTGTTCTGTCTTACGACAGGTCCATTGCTCTGCCCAAAAAGAGCTCTCCAGTTGTCCCTATTCTCGGCTTCTCGCTTTAATTCCTGGAACGTCATCTTCTTTCCTTGTTTAAGGTCATCGATTAGCTGTATCAATCTTCTTCCTAGTCCTCTCTTTCCTTCAACCTGGCCTTCGGTGATATCACTCAGTAATCCATTCCTTCTCATAATACGTCCCAGCCAGTTAGCTTTCCTTCGTGTAAGTATACAACAACTTAATTCGTTTCTTCTTTCCTGACAGGACTTCGGTGGTTGTTAAGTCGGCGATGCACGTATTACCGGTACCAAGACGTATAACGGTATGGGGGTCAGTTACACGGACAAGATAATACTGCAAAACCTGTTAATTTTAAACTTAGATAATTAGGCCCCAAAAAAATCAGACCTTGTGTTCCGAATGTAGACAAGTATAAACGGGTGGTTGGACAATGTTGCAGGATTGCACAGACAACTAATGTGTAAAAAAACAGAGCTCGTTGCTCGGCTGAAGTGAAATCCCGATGGTAATGTACTCCAAGAGCCTTTACTGAGAGGCCTTAGGTAAAAGTATTGTTGAATTGATGTACTGAGAAAGTGACTGGCATTAAACAACAAATTCTTGCTTGGATAACGAGGCACTCCTCGCACGTGCAGTAATTATATCGAGCGTAATTTGTGAACATTATGATTAGTGAACTGTTAACTTTGTGCTTTAGTCCGATTGACAGGTAGAGGGTTATATTACCACGATATATTTTCCATTCCTTTACTTATGAAACGCGTAAAACAAAATATTTTATTTTAAATTTATAAGCTAATAAAAGTGTTTCTGAATCTACTTTAACTTTCAAACACGACGGTCAACTAATTAATATTTCAAAACAAAATTGTTACATCAAAGAAAATACAACACGTCTCTGTTATTAATATCATTGTTTGTTCTAAGAATCGGATATCAGACATCCTTCGTGTGTTAGTTCTAACAGGAGATGCAACTTTCGTTAAACAAGACCACAACATACACGATTATACCGCGTGTTCCAATTGCAACCTTCGTACCATCAATATAACAATGTTGTTAAGATTCGGTGTATTGTTGTCTTATTCGGTGTTTCCTTGTCAATATAGGCTTTGCTAACTTCTTCACGAACAGCAGAAAAGTATGGTTAGCTTTTGCGCAGCGTCCTAGCAACAAGAGAGACCTTGATTGGAGTGCCACGGGAGATTCTGGGAGAGTCCATTACACGGAGGAGGGCGGACCTCCTTCTGGCTTTATCTCTGTTCCATCGCACGTAATCATAAGTTGCTTTCCAAAAAAAAAATTTCAGAATAAAGCATAAGTGCAAATAACCATAACAATCTCAGTGATGTAAGATTTAGGATAAAGAACATCTCGGAGCTAACAACTAAGCAAGTCATGACTTCAGAACAAGCATGGAGTCCCTTGAAGAACAATCAATGAATCAGCATTTTGCGGATGGTATTTTTACATAAATTATAAAGCATTGTTCTTTTAAACAGAGAACATATTACGCCTACCTTTGGTTCATGAGGTTCTACAGCATGAAGACAATCCATTGACCATCACCATGATTGAACCAGCCAACCAGCCAGATCATGCGAGTTTCTCACCAGTACTTCCTGAAAACAAAGAAACAAACATTGACATGCCAGCCGTTAATCGGGCTATTTAACAGAAATAAATTATGTCGTTGATTTCGTGGGCTGCAGTTAACTTCTGCAATACAAAGTATCCTAGTTCTGCCAAAAGGGGACCTATACTTTTCAGGCTCGTAGACATTATGACAAAGCTTAAAATCTTGTATGCTGTTTCATCGGCCTTAATGTCATCTGGAAAGTAGGCACAGGACCACGTTCAGTTTTAGTGTTGATGTGGGCCCCTACAAGTAAACACTGCTGAGGGCGGTGTCCTCAGGAAGGTAGAGTATCTTACCTAGCCAAGAAATTCCACGAATTTTAAGAAGCCAGAAATTTGATTACGGTGTCTACAACAGCTGATCTCTATATACTCTGCTGAGTCAGGTAAATTCAAACCACGTCTTCACGCTCTGCTTTCCATCAGATTCGTTTCAATATTATTCCCTCAATATATAAAGTTTTCACTAATGGTCTATTCTCTTCAGGTCCTCCGACTGAAATTTTTAAAGCATTTCTTACCACTTCAGTGCGTGCTACACGTTCCAGCAATTTCAATTTCCTTAATTTGATCAACGCAATAATATTTTGGAGAAGATGTAAAAATAAAGGGCAGGCCCATATTCAGGTATTAGCCTAAGAATTCTAAGTACACTATTTAACAAGACCCCGTTCGGGTTAGTTGGTGGCCAGGAGGCCTTCTGAATACGACTCGTTACCACCGACAAATATTCTTCCTGTTAGCCTCAACGTCCAGGCGGAATCCAAGCCTCCGATGTGTACCGGGGGCTTTCCCCAGGAGTAACCGTCTATCCAATGTCGAAATCAAGATAGAAGAAAGTTCTACATCCACTGCCCCATGCGTCCTCATGGTGTGGTTCTCAGTAAGTACTAGGTATCACTCTGATGTTTTACATACATACATACATAGAGGCAAATGCATATTAAGCGTCAGGCACAATTTCTCTCTCTGCTTTCTCTTGGTCAATCTGTCGGGTCATCGGAAGAAGACACTTATGCAGTGTCATCAAACTTCAGCTCCGTACTACGTGTTAGCTTCTACGCGTACGTTTACCCCCAACCAGTTTTTGGAAATTGGGTCAAAATGCAACCTTTTGGCATATGATATACCGGTAGTGTATGAAAGTCGGAGACAAGACATAAATAAAATTTCCAATGTACAGAGTAAACAAGTTAATTTATTTCGTATGCCCTGCTCATCACGCCTGAAGTCAAGTCCCTGGTATGCCCTGCTCATCACGCCTGAAGTCGAGTCCCTGCTCTCTCTCTCTCTAGCTCTCTCTGATGAACGATATGACTTATGACGTCTACATTTGAAATAATTTGTGGAGTAAACAGAGATGCTGTAATCAGCACATGAATACAAAGATTCACATTCTTAATGTTGCAGAATATCGTGGCCTTTGCGAATGTATAAGCTAGTGATTAAATGACCTTGAAATAACGTGTTGCACTGACGAGTAGACGAGCAGACGATGAATTTATGGCCCAATCAGATTCTTTTAACGAATGACATTGTAGTATGTCATTACCTTGAAATATCCCACAAAAGTTTCCTCCAATTAACCGCAAATAGCCAACCTCTCATCTTCTTTGGGCTTTAAAAACTGCAGCCAAACAAGTTATTACTTCATAAGAATAGACGAACATGCTGATATCTTATGGCACATACAGCTTCAACAAGAGAGTTGAGAAATGCAAACAAAATCTTAGTCGGAAAACTTCAAAAAAACTATGCCACGTGGGAAACCTAAGCACAGATAACAGGATAATATTAAAATGGGTCTTAATTAAATTGTACTGGGGACATAGACTAGAGTCATCTGAATCAGTGTAGGATCCAATGGTTGGCCCCGATAAACACATGAATTAACCACTGGGTTTTATAAAAGAAGAGAAATTTCTTGACCATTTGAAATACTATCAGGCTCTGAAGAAGTCCCTGTTTCGTAAAGACAGCACAGCGAACCGCCGACTACTTGCGCCGAGTAATTTGCATCTTAACTTAACCTTCAACAAATATAATTTAAAGGTTTCATTAACTCTGTGAAACATACAGATTCTGTCTGCGCGTTAAACAAAGTCTGCGAACACTGATTCTGGGTTCACTTTCATCGCCCTGAAGTGTAGCAACTGGGTGACCGATCCAGAGCTCCGTGAAATGACGAAGCTTACGAGTGTAAAGTTTCGTAAGGTGACATGAAAAATCCATTAGTACTTCGTGTGAAAGTGAACAGTTTAGTACTTGTACTGCTCGTCGTAAGATCTGCAATACCCATAATACTAAATTCGACGGACTATTTGGTAAATGTATTTCAAGTTCTGGTTGCGGACTAATTACACTATTGTCCTCATGGCGCATGGTTATGTCTTCGCTAAGCTGATAACTGTTCAGCCGCTTAACCGAAGGGTTCACTGCCGTCTTCAGAAGAATACGTCACTGGACTTACTACTAAGCCAGTCAGATCCGATCCATTTTAATATTATCCTTATCTAGGTCTCTCAAAAATTATCCATCCCCGACGAATTGTATCTCAAACAGATTAAGCCGATCGAATTCACATTTCGTCCAACTCATCCTCCTTAATTTAATCAGCAAGGCGAAGCTCTTCATGAGGCCACTACAGTTTTATTCTTGTAGGTAAGGTGGCTGGTTCACTTAGTGACTGCTGCGAAGACTCAGAAGTAGCCTTGTATTTAGCTTAGTTTTTCTAATCCGTATGGGCCCAAAATCGAACCTTGCAGCCGCCTATCCCAAGATGTTAGTTAGACCTACCACAGGCTGGATAGCAAATATCTCGCAGTGCAGCTTCGTCGATTATAGACAGACAAGACATTTAAAAAAGAAACTTCAAATACTAGCAGACGCTTGTAGCTTGTCCTGTCACGAATCACTGCTCCTTCCAAAGAACTCTTGTACGTGTTCTATGTGTTTAATGTGTTCTGTTTATACGCCGTACCATAGACGTCTCTGTCCAAGTTCTTTTCCACCTGGTCTCAATGATTTCTGTTCTTATTTTAACCAGCATAATCCCCTCCGAACGAGCCTCTTGTTTTAGGAATCTCATAATTCAATGGAATTTCGACAATCAATCTGTATTCTGCTACAGGTACCAGGTTAACAATGCGAGCAATACCTAAACTTAAAAATCCCAAGAAATTCAACCCTGCACTGTAACAATTGGCACTTCAGCTAAATTCAACGCAGGTCTAACAATTTATACTTCGATGGGCAGTCAGCAATGAACATTCCCACTTCCACGAATATCAGCCCTTTGAATTAAACAGTGAATTGATTTAATAATCGAACTTATAATTAATTAAATGTCTTGCGTACCGATTGATCTGGGTTATTTAACGACAACTTTCATCTGCATAACATCATGGCATCGAATAGAGTAATGACTGCGTGATTATGAATTGAAAAGCGAAAGGAATACTCCTTTGAAGACGAATCACTCCTCCATTACAGAAATCTATTGGTAAATAGTGTTAAAGGAAATAATCGATGATTATTCTGAAAATCAAATAAAACCAATGGATACATTTTTGGGGCAAGATGGAGGATTATAGAATGTTAAAGCACGGGGTACATATAGTTACCACTAGTTTTTAACAGGTTAAATTATTTCGACGGTTTGCTAGAGGGACGGAGTAAAATCACTACAAAACTCTGACACGACGAAATTCAAAACTCGCACGTCCAGAATATAATGGAACCGTTACAGCTGATCGTGTTGTTTGAAAGTATATATACATTAAAATTATATTAAAATTAAATCCGTGGCGTAACAGCTCCAGAGAGCCAAAGCCGACTAGCTTGACTGCTGGCCTCACGTTCACATGCCTAAGCAGAGGTGAACGATCATCCAACCAGATACAGGATGACGTGTGGTCAGCACGACGAACCCCCAGCCATTGCTAGCTTTCCTGACCGGATTACGCTACTCATTGTAGCTCCCCAATTTCCTCACGATGCTGGGTTGGCACCGGTCCCATACACTGGTCGAAAGCTCATGAGAAAATTTCTTTCACCGAGACTCGAACCAGCGCGCATTCCGTATCGCCGGCCCGAAGCATGATGCCTCAGACCGCGCGGCTACGACGCGGGACTGTATACATACATTACTGACTTATAAATAAAGCCAAATATATGGAGCAGAGATTTTATTCGAAGCTGGTAGTTGCTCAACTGGTCAAGGAATTCCCCGCCGTTTATGGAATTCGAAATGTCACGATTAACATCGACGCTATATGAACTGATCTACTGAAATGCGTCGTTAAATATACAATAAATAATTTAACATTGTTGACAATGGACCCTGCCCTGAGTGACATTATCCCATAAATAAATCCTGAGACTTTTATTTTTATCCTTACATTTACGACAATATCTTCTCGGTCCTCCCTTTAGATTTCCCGATCAGAGGTCTGTTCGCATATCCCATATCCCCATAAACCCCCATGTGAGTGTCGCTCATTTTATAACCCTCTTGGTGAAGGGTACGAACTGTGAGGTTCTCATTGTGTGTGTGTGCGTGTTCCGGAAGAACTGTGCTGTGCAGACAGGCGACGGCCTCCGTGAATGAACTGAGGGTCATCGTATCAGACGGGCTAACGCGCTCTGTGTCGCAGGAGCAGCGCAAAACCACTTCAGTTTGAGTTTACCAACAGATTATTTTAAGAATCTGTTCCAAGAAAGGCAATTTCAATTAACAGATTGCCGGGAAATTTATAGACATAATCTGAAAAAGAAATAAAGAATTTGAAGGCACGGAATATCATCATGGTGTGACAGTTCTCGCGATGAACTGACCCTCGCGAATGGAAACAGTTCTCGCACATGTCTGGGGTCAATGACCTATCCGTGGGGGAATCTGGCGTCGGACTAGCTGGATGATAACGTCATCACGGAGGATTCACACGCGTTGCTGTGCGGCTGACTGCAGATTCCTTACGAGGAA